GTACCACTCCCCCAATCCGTCATTTGTCTTCGAACCATCTGTATATGTGAACACGTGCCCTCCATGCCATCTGTATATGTGAACACATGCCCTTCATGCCATCTGTACATGTGAACACGTGTCCTCCATGCCATCCGATACACTATCAAATTCTGGACCGGACTAATCCCAGGCATTCGCTACCTCCCTTGACCCGGGACGGCAAAACGTCAGCATTTGGCGAGGTCAGGAGGCAGGGTGGAGCTGGACATCATACCTCCGCAATGCAGTGCCGTTATTGCGCGTGAACACACCGCTCCATGAATCGGATGGGTGGGTGGGGTGGGGTGGGGGGGGGGGGGGGGGGGAGCTGGCGTATTCAACACGCAAACCAGGTCCATGTCAAGTGTCTGGTGGCCAGCAGACAGCGGCGTTTCGTCTGCTTCCTCAAGAAGGCTCACGGTCCGTGACGTCCGAAACGTTCCGGTAACCATGCGGAGAACTGTGTGTTGTACAGGTCAAGGGCGCCTTTGTTGGACTCTGTTGCGATAGTACATGATGCGTAGTCCAGCTTAAGACGAATGATTGAAGCAATGTAAAAGCAGGAGCGTGATCCTCTCAGTTCCGTATGCTGTTCGTGCTACACACTTCAAAATGTCGAGCGATTTAAAAACGTCTCTGATCTTAACACGTGCTTTGTAAGATCTTCAAACGTGCTTTGCACGTCAGCCCACGATCAAACCACAGCCGGAGAAACCCCACAGCAGACTCTGATGGGATGCGTTGTCCCTACAGATGGATAATCAATTTGGGGGAACATCGGCGGCGGTGCACAAGTGTACGACCTTGGTCTTTGCAGGTATCAAATGAAATCCGTTTTCAATGCTCCACCCCTCCAAGCATGTCACAATGAGCTGGATATGCCGCTCCATATCAGGGACTGTTAATGCGATGTACCAGATGGTAAAGTCGTCCACAAAAAGCGCTCGACCGACGGATTGTGGAAGAGTTGCAGATGTCGTTAATGGCGAGGGCAAAAAGCGTCACACTCAGCACGCTACCCTGGGACACACGGTTCATTAAAACAAAATTGTCTGATGACATGGAACCAACACGAACACCAAAACGACGATCTGATGCAAAATTATGTGAAAGTGCCCCTAGAGCCCCAAATGTCAAAGCCAAGGAGCTTCAGAATAGTACCACGGCGACGCTTCGTATCATAGGCCCCTCCAAATCGAAGAACACTGCGCCATTATGTTTTCTCTTAAATCCAGCTCTTATGTCTCTATCAAAGGCCAAAATAAAGCTGGCACAACTTTGTTATTTTCTAAAACCGCACTACACACTCACAAAAAACATGTAACTCCAAAAACCAGGTGAGGCGTACGTTTGCCATTCTCGTTATCACTTCACACAGTGAGGATGCGAGAATGTCAGTCAATATTGAAACGGTTCCTCGCCGCTCATCCCAGGCTTTAGAACAGGAACCACTGAAGCCTCCCGCCAGCCCGCAAAAAGGTCACCACTTGCACATAAATAGTAAAAGTCGCTCGGAGCATCTTCTGCACGCAGGGACGCAGATGATGGAGCACGCCATTGTGTACTTGATCGGGTCCCTCTGAAACATTTCATGGCAGTTGTTTGGAGGTGGACAAGTCCGCCATGAATGCTTCACAGCAGGGCCTGTGACGAACAACCTTTGGCCCGGTGTTGCTTCCCCGACTGCGTTCCAAGATCGCACGAGCGATTTTTGTGTAACGTCGATCGGCCGGGACAGGAGCTGGCTGCCTACTGGCAGTACAGGAGTGGGTACTGAGCAAACCTGCCCCGTGGTGCACTTGATGCAGCTCCATGCCTCTGATACTGCCCGTAGTACACTTGATGCAGCTCCATGCCTCTGATGCTGGTGTGGAATGATTTGGTGTGATTACATATTCTCGCCAAGACTGAAGTTGAGCCTCTCTGACGGTTCCTCCAGCAAACGCCCTTGTCTTATTGAAAGCTACCAGGTTATCTGCAGTCAGAAGTTCGAAAAGCTTGCTTCCATGCGCGGGTGGCGAGCGTTCCGACCATCCTCCGTCGACCACGGAGCCGGTGTTCCGTGCGGGCATCGGAAAAACGCAGAATGCATTTCGTTGCACAACTTAAAAGTGTAGCCGCAAAATCCGCCACAGATGTGGAGCTACGGCTCAATTCTGCAGAAGACGAAGCTTGAGAAGGGATTGAAATTCGCTCCAATCGGCTTTTGTATATTCCAGCCTGGAGATTGGTGCTGTCTACTGGAGGTCACGAGCCGGAGACTGGTCGGAGGGCAACGTAAAGTGGGCTCCCATCTCAGCGTTTGACTTAAAGACGAGTCATGGATAAAGGCTTGACATAACCTACCACGCAGGTTGTGCTGGCACAACTCCAAGCCATACGGTGGGCATTCAAACCGCCTAAAATTAAAACCGGCGCGGGAGTTCAGATGCGAGCCGTCCGAGCCCTGCGAGTGGAAAGGATTAATCAGGTGGTGAGTACAGACAGCAGGCTGTGCTATGCAAGTGGTCAAAAAAGGACGTGCGGCTACAGCTTGAAGTGCAGACTTGATCACGAGCTGTTGCGCGGGCACGCTGAGGTGGGCCGCTGGGGAGACTCCACCGTGCGATATGGTGTCAGCCACCATATCCTAACGGCATACAGTGTAAATGTTGATGCTGCACTCTGAGTTCGGTGCCAGCTTGTTTCCCTTGGGGCCAGGACCACCGGACACTGCCGGCGAACTGCGGCCTGCAGGTTCTGGTAATTCGCCCGTAGCCACCCAAGCTTCCACTGCAAAAAATGCTTGCAAAGATGGCGCGTTCAGGCACTTAAAGGAATAAGACACGGGGCTACGCGCCACTTAAGTGCCGTGCCCCACGTCAAGCAAAAGGCTCTCTTGGCCAACACGGGCTAGCACTCTCCAACTCCGTGGAACCGGCACCTGGGGCTGCCATCGTCCGACGACGACAGGGGGCCGGGCGGGGCACACTTACCAGCAACAAACCCCGTCCTGGGTGGTGGTGAGGAGGTCCCACCGGCCGTCCCCTTCCCGTCGCAGCGAATCTGGGCGTGGCCTCCACGGGCCTGCCAGGCGGTGGAGTACTGCACCTGGGTGAAGACGCATCCGGCAGACAGCCGATTGGTCGCGTGAGGCCGCTACTGCTTCAGCAGGCCCGTTCCCGCTCCAGCAGGCGCGCTCGCTTGGCCTCGCAGGCGCGCCTGTCCGCCCCATGGCGCTCTCGCGCTTCCGCAGGCCTTCCACAAATGCGTGTGAGACGCGACGAGGCGGGTGTCATGGCCGCGAGTAGAGGCCACGTGCGGTGTCTGGTCGAGCCCACAGTTCACGCAGCGTGGCACGTCACGTGAGCACTGGTCGTCGTAGAGGTCAACATACGCACACTTCCCGCTCCCGGGACGATTTCGGCAGTACGTGTTCGTGAGGCCAAAACGCTAGCATTGCGAACAGCGCGAGGGGTTTGGCATAAATATACTTTAATAAGAAAACACTGACAGGGCGTACCCGGCACGTGCCTCAGATGGCAGTTCGGTTCGGCTAAACGTAAGCATTGTGTTCTTCGCCGGAATGGTTTCAGGTCCCTCTTTGTAACGATTCTGCAAGCCGGTATAACGCCGCACATCGCCGCTTCTTCCACCATCTCCTCCTCACACACACCGCGCAGGTCAAAGCAACTGATGGCACCTCCTGGTAAGTTCTCCGTTCGTTGCTCCGCGACGGAGATCGACAGAGACGCGTCATGCTTCCCGCCCTTGCCGTGGATACCATACGTTGCGTGGGGCCGTCACGGTCCGCGCCGTGTCCTGATTGTTGAACAGTTCCACCTCGACGACGCAGTCTCTGAGCTTATCAGACCGGTTTACAGCCGCGATGCTGCGTTCTTCGCGGCGAAATACTGTGATCCAGGCGTGCGTGCGTGCGTGCGTGTGGCGGAGGGGGGGGGGGGGGAGGGGCACGACCAAACTCCTCGCTGCGCCCCGGTAACATCACGGTCCTTCCCCATGTCGAGGGACAGAAATGTTTTGGTTGGTAAATGCCGCGCAAAAATGGGCATTCCTTGCGGCGCCGGGACTCTTTACCCACCACGGAACGCCACTGGGGGACCGTCCAACACTCCCACGGGAGGTGATCACCGCAATGGCCACCCGGGGTCTATGCGGGGTGGACGAAGCCTCTCACACGGCAAGGTGTAACCGGCGAGACGCCTCCCTGTCTTGACCGTGGTTTAGCGCCACCGCCCCTTGACCCCTTCAGCCGCTGCGCGCGGTAAGGCACCCCAAACGGAGACACGTTCAGAACAAACAGCCACAGCGCAGGCGACATACCGCTAGACCGGTATGGGGCCCCACGGCCCCTCGCGCCCCGGATACCCTGGCCAAGGTGGCGTGTTGGGACGCGCCGTTGCTGGCCCGCACGGGGGCGCGGGCGATGGAGCACGACGATCCCGATGAAACGAGGATGAGGAGTGGTGAGAGGGCTAGCTGCGGTAATGGGCGTTATAGGGGCGTTATAGGGGCGTTATAGGGAGGGAACGGGCGAGACAAAGAGCAGATGCTCACGTACCGACGCGCAACGATGCTTGAGGCAAATAGATAACTTTTGCCTCAACGATCGATACTTTATGTACCTTGAGTAAATGTGTGAAGACGCTGCAGGGAGTATATGACCGGTAATGTGTGTCAAATGTGGCTTTTCTTGCGATGGCCAACCATTGCGATTACGATCCCTCGAGACTGCTTTTCATGTGATGTAAGGCAAGCGAACTGTTCTTGTTTGCCGGTCGCCCAAGCCCCGCCCCTGATCACATTTTAGGAGGGTCGGGTTAGTGATTGTTGCAACACCTACGTTGGCGACGCCACAAACCAGTGCAAAACACCCGGCCCGAAAAGACCCATAGGACGCCACTTAGTCCTGCGTGTGTGCGTCGGACCACTTTCCAACAGAGCTCTCAATCAATCCACCCTCGCCAGCATAAAATACATGAGAATCTCACCCGATACCGTCCATTTATTAGCTCATCGCGCCACAACCAGGAGACATGCGACGCGCCTCACAAACCGGAAGTACCAGGCAACGAACATCGAATAAAAGAAGCGGTGCAACGTTAAAAGCGCCGAGTGTGGCGCCTGCCCGGCCAGGGGCGGCGCGAGAGGCCCGGCCGACGGCGCCCGGAGTGGCGCTGCCGCATCGGCGGCGACGCGGCCTAGAAGCCGTGCACCTTCAGCTGGGCGCTGGTGGCCAGGCCGTACTTGGTGAGCAGCTGGCAGATGTTCTCGCGCTGGTCGCCCTGCAGCTGCAGGACCTCGCCGTACTCGGGGTGCTCGATCACCGTGCCGTTACACGCAAACTCCTGCCGATGAAAGGCGTCAGCCGTTGTAGGGGGACCGTGTGGTGGATGACTGTCACACCTGGGTGAGTCCGATCTTTGTGTAATAATACAATTTTCAAAAATGACGATCTTGAGAAGCCAGACTGTTTGACTGCAGCAATGTAGCCCACGAAATGCAAAGGTTCTGCATTTCGTCCCATTCCTTGCTGGCCCCATCTTCCTAAGCACCTGACTGATCAGAGCTATGGCGACCTAGATGTAAGATGGAGAAACGAACAATTTCCGATCTGCAAGCAGCAGCATTCTTTCTCGAGGCTGGTGGTTAATTGTCGACAACTGGCGACTGACTATGTGTTCCAGCAGCACGTCCTAGTTGCTATGGTCTCGAGACAGCTCTGCTTTGGTCCCATAGTGGATGATGGAGGATTTGAAGCCTCTTGAGGGTGGCTTCTGCTCATGGCCACATTGAGGCATTGGGGGCAAAGACCTCTTGGCGAAGCTCAAAAAGCTAAAGTTGGCACTTAAAATTAATACTACAGTAAAAACATACATCAGCTAACATGCATTAAAAATGACCCACTAGTCACAACATGGTGTTCAGTTAGGAACTGGCAGCTAAGTGTACACATTAGTACACATTTCATACACATTGTGTACACATTTACGCATACGCATACCACATTTACGCACACCACACAGTAAACCATCCTCAAATTTATCTACACTGCTGACTGATTGATCTTCAGTGCCATTTAACATAAATCAGAATGGCAACACAAGATCATAAGGTCATTCAAAGGTCAGTTTTAACTGGTGTTCCAATTAATACCTAGGCATTATGCTATAGTCTGTTCTTCTACAAATCACTGAACAAACCTTTTTGCATGTTTTCACGATTTTCTTCAGGTCATATTCCGCTGGAAGACCCTGGACAGTGGTGAGGGTCTTCCGCCGGTTCCGCTGCTGGATGCGGATGTGAATCAGTCCACCCTGCGCGCCTTCATTGAGTCCCTCACTTGCAGCAGCAAAGGGATCTGGGGAACGAGATGGCGTCTGTTAAACTTCTATCTCCATATGCAAGCCATATCCCTTTCCACACTCACTCATACAAAGTTACTAATTCAACAATTTCGGGAAGATGATCATGTTTTTGTGTACTGGTCGGCACTGCTCAAATCACCCCTATTTAGCAATGATATCGGGTGGTAAAACAAAAAGATACCACCTACATACACTACACACCTACATATGTTCTGTCCATAAGTATTTTCAATTGACAGATGTGTGAATACATGGCAATCATGACTGATGACCAGATCTCACCAATAAAACAGGGCTATGGTAACTTCCATGCCCCGAGCAATTCACAAAAATGGTAGGTTAATATTTCCAAGGTTCAAAAATGCAGCATTCTTTAAACACACCCAACACTGCCAGTTTCAAGATGTGCCCCACTTTTCAGTACAGGAGAAACCCTCACAGGAATCTAAAGCAGTGCAACTTTATGGTGGCCACACAGCGTTGGAAATCCCAAAAATTTTCATGGTAGCAGAGCACAAATTTCCTATAGTGGAGTACAAAATTACCCAAGTGCTGTGGGTCATTACAGTTTTATTTGTTATCTTCGAGAGATAACACTACAATGGGTGGTAGTCAACAAAAGCGCCACTTTTCATATAAAGCAATTCATGTAAAAACCCTTCAAATGAACGGAAACATCAGTATTAGACAATTAAATAACACAGTCTCATACTCTGTACTATGCAACACATGTGCATACACATGGGGCAGTTTGCAATTTATGACAGGCTCTGTGCTACACCCTCCAAAACGGAGGGAACCTACGCATCGGGCATCTACACTCCCAAAAACGGAGGGTGGTTACACACCGGGCTTATACACCCTCCAAAATGGAGGGTGGGTACGATACGCACAGCCAGACAAAAATGGTGCACAAAAAATGCCAGTGAACACGCCACAGACAGCCACCTACTCAAGCTCCACCACGGTCACGCTACTCACGCTCCACCAGCTAACTGGTTTTAAAAGCAGCTAAGCGTTCGCGCCCCTCACCTTCCCACTCCCGGTCAACACACGAGGTCCTGCACGTCCCACCCGAACAATAGAGACAAACAGCACTTTTAACCGGTTAACCGAGCCAGCGCAAGTACAACGCCTGACAGACCCGTGTAGGCCGGCCAGAAGGGATCGGAGTCAGTCATTCCGCTGACTTCGGCGGCTATTGCAATGCATTAAATGATTTTGATACACTTTAACTGACATCATAGCAAAATATGATAATTTATGTTGCAATCAATTGATGTTCTTGACCTAATAAACCCTTCTCCTTAACTTGCCGGGCCAAAGTTATGGGCTCATCTTACTATGGTGTCCTTGTGTTTTTGCTGGAGTGAGATGGCTGTCTCCGAACAGTTTTTTGGCAATTTATAGCAACGCTTTGCGACTTTAAATGATATTTTTGTAAAGCCTCAATTACCAGCTTCAATTTCACACCCTTAAGTGACAATTTTAACTTGACTTAAATCCACAGCTGCCGTAACATTTTTGTACTCCGGGTACCACGCAGTGGCAAAAATCCAACCACACGGCGGTTCTGGATGAGTACAAATAAGGCCTTTTTCATAATCGTGATGCTCATCCATATACAGCTTCCCTCCAAATGTTTACAAATCTATTCAAGGCATGAGTGTGAGCAGCATATTTATGCTCTTGACAAAGCAGTCGCGAGGAGGCGAATCATTCAAACCAACTGGAGAGTTTTGCTATGTTCAACCTCCAACCTGAGCTGGGAGGCGGGCACAAGCCGCTGAATAGTTCAGGACGTTTCCGACGCTGAATTGCGAGTGATTCTCTTATTTGCATTGCCATGACAAGGTGGTGTTGCGTGAGGAGGCGGCCGCATGTGGTAGGTGATTGGGCGTGTGGTTTTCTGTGACTTTTCGTTGCATCCTTGGCAATTAATGTAGTTCGTCGTCAATGGTAGGTTATGTCATGTTCAAGTCTGAGTTGGTCAGTGAAGGGCATAGGAAGTGAGAGCTTTGCTAATCTACAGACCTGGTGCAATTCTGGTGCTCCTTTCCTATTTCCCGGTATTTTTCAAAGGCGATTCCATTCAACATTCACACACTTTATTTTTCACATTTTCATACATGGTTTATCACATACCTGGGTGATAACACAGGCTGCTTGCTATTGGGCATCTTAGTCTGGTGGGTGTAAGATTTGTGCTCTTGCAGATGTCAATACATGGCTCCTGATGGAAGCAGCAAGTCTCAAACTGTTGCACATTCTGGTTTTATTTTGTCCTGACACAAAAAGGTAAAATGAGTTTTTCCAAAAGCTGTTTTTGTTGCACCACGATGGAGTACAAAATATTTCATTTTACCTAGTCACAATCCTGGAGTACAAAATCCCCTGGCATACATTGTATCTGGAAACATCAAGTTTTCCAACACTGTGGCCACATCTCTCTTAATCTCTATTTGTTCTGAACTGTCTGCATTTGCCACTTTGCATCCTCATTCAGCTTAGGTGGCATGATGGTCCTGGGTCAACCCCTTTGGTCAGTTGTCAGCTGACCTTTCCTGATCAGTTGGGTCTACCACATACCTGCCATAACATAATGTCTGTGTCTGTGCCATGACCTTGTGCCTTTTTTCTGTCCAAATAAAGTATGTTGTGAGCAACCTGAACTGACCATTCAAAATATGCAGTTTGAATAACTGGAATCACATAATGGTTACCTCCTGATACATTTTGGTCGGCCCAGGTCAGTGAAGCCCACTTTGGCAGGCAGTTAATCCCAAATGTCTAAAAAACATAACCAAAGATCAAATCTGTTCATGTTCAAAAGTCCTAAAATTACATTACAATGTAAGGGTGCAAGCTCATCTCTAAACTTCCTGAAAGCCATCTCCATAAGATATCTTCCATAGAGCACACCACTAACAACAATCAGAAAACTGCTGGCTGCATGATCACACTTTGAACATACAATAAGCATGACCTTACAATGTTTGTATTTACAATGCTCTATATGTTTTGTGCACTGATGGCATGTTGGTCTTAAGCTTTTGCTTCTCCAAAGTTTAGGTTCCGGGTTACGGTGTAAGAATGGTCAACCAAGCAGCTACATACTGGTCATACAAGAGGTTGAATAATGACTGCACCAATGTCATTGTCAGGCTGTGTTCCCACCTGTCATGCTAGGATTGTTAAGTTATGAGATGTTAAGACATGGGCACAGCTGAATAGTCAGTCCAAGTGAAATCCCTTCACTCCTAAAGACACCTGGAGTGACATCAATGTGCTTATCCTGATATACATCCACACCCAATTTAGTTCAGACTATTGCACCAATATTTTCAACTTGTTTTTGCTTTAGAAAATATTCTGAGGAATTTGTGCCCAAAATTACCATTATACCAGGCTTATCCCTTGACAGATGGGTTTTCAGTATTGAATGAGTGATGACCATCCACACAAAGGAGCACTAAGATTTACATGGTACAGGCAATGAAACTGACTCTGTAATTTCACAAACACACTGATGCATAAAACATGTTTCCTGCAGTCTGAACAAAATGGGCTGGATACCATTGGGCATTCTGCAAAAATTCCATCCACTGTGAATTTGTACTGTACAAATCTAGTACTGTAGAACATTCTTTAGCAGTAGTTGACACAGTGTTGGAAAAATAAACATTTCCTGGTATAATGTGTACCAGGAGATTTGCTACTCCAGTATTGTGGGTGGGTTATATGAAATATTTGGTACTCCACCATGACACAACAAATACGGCTTTTGGAAAAACTAATTTTACCTCTCTGTTTCATGACAACATGAAACCTGAGGGTGCAACAGCTGGAGACTTGTTGCTTCCATGATGAGCAATGTATTGATATCTACAATGCTACAAATCTTGCACCTACCACACTTAGATGCCCAATAGCAAGCAGCCTGAGTTGCCACCTAGGTATATAACAAATCATGCATGGACATGTGAAAAGTGTGCAAATGTTGAATGGAATTGCCTTTGAAGAATGAAGGGAAATGAGAAACAAGTAGCAGAATTCCACCCGTTTGTGCATTTGCAAAGATGGTATTTCCCATGCCTGATGCACATGAGCTCAAACTTGAACATGACTTCACCTACCATTGATGACAAACCACATTAATTGCCAAGGATGCAACAAACTGTGATGGAAAACCGCACACCCAAGCACCCACCACAGACATCCGCCTACTCATGTGCCACCACCACATTATGGCAATGCCAATACGAGAATCACTCGCAATTCAGCATATGAAGTGTGATTATTCAATCATTCAGTGGCTTCAGCCCCCCTTCCAGCTCAGGTCGGAGGTTGAATATAGCAAAACTCTCCAATTGGCTTTATTGATTTGCCTCCTCATGACAGATCCGTCAAGAGCATGAGTATTCTGCTTCCACTCATGTCTTGATTTAAACAGATTTGTAAAAGTTACAAGGGAAGCTGCATAGAGATGGTATCACTTAAAAGAGTATACAAGGCCTTATTTGCACTAGTTCTGAACCACCCTGTGGTTGGATATTTGGCCATCTGCTGGTATCCTGAATACAAAAATGTAAAGGCAGCTGGGGATTTAAACCACATTAAATTTGTCATTTCAGGGTGTGAAATTAAAGTTGGTAATTCAAGCTTTACAAAAATATCCTTTTTAGTAAAGAAATGTTGCTTTAATACCAAACAAATTACCAGACTGGTATCAGTCCATAACTTTGCCCTCACAAATTAAGGGATAGGATTCATTAGGGCAAAAGACATCAATTAACTGAAACATAAGTTACCAAATTTTGCAATGATATTAGTTCAAGCACACTAAAATCCATTAATAAATTGTGTTACCCTCCAGAGTCAGCAAAGTGACTGATTCATATCTTTAGGCCAGCCTGGAGGAGTCAGTCAGGCATTGTACTCACATTGTCAAGGCAAATGGGTGGAGAGGGCCACATGTCTCTATTAATTGCTGGGCTGGGATGTGCAGGGCCTCCTGTATTGTCCAATATTTGGAAGGTGGAGGTCATAAAGGTTTAGCAGTTTTTAAAACCAGTTACCTGGTGGAGCTGAGTAATGTGATAGAGGTGGAGCTTGGAGGTGACTGTCTGTGGCACATTCGTTGGCATTCTTTTGGGTTCCATTTTTCCCTGATCAGCTCCAAACGACAACCCAGAAACAGTGCTGGGGAGTCGAGGCAGTGGGGTGCGTGCGGTGCTTGGGAGCTTGCTATCATAGTTATTAAAATTTGAAGGTAGGAGCATGATTCTACCTGTTTTGATATTATTTACAATATGTTCCACCTTAAACACAACAAATGGTGTACAATGATTTTTTTTCTAAAATTAGGCACCCACATATACCTACACCCCTTAAACACGACAAATGACGTACAATGCTCTTTGTTAACATTACATACCAATGTATACCTATGCTGCTTTAACATACATTACTGTGTATGAAGTTTGTGTCGAGTATCACCCATTGCACTGATAGCTCCCAAAGACAAGATAAACAGAAGTGCAGTGACCTGCATCACTTAAAAAATTTTGTACTCAACTACAGAAAATTTGTACCCCACTTCCCAAAACATTTCTGAAACTTCCATCACTGGCTGATGTACATGCATGCTGGTATTGACCCCCATTTGGTATAACTTGTTTGTTGTAATCCCTTAAACTCACATTACTTACTGAAGTAAAACAAATGACTAATGACATCAATTTTATCATCATATGAGCCCCTGGGCTGTGACCCTTCCACTCCAAAAGCTGGAGCCCCCCCCCCCAGTTTGAGAACACTGCACATTAGTTCCACATGTACCCCAACACAAGACAATTGCTTTCAAAGTTTGCCTCATGCCAGTGGAATCTACCCTGATGCACCGTTCTCCAGCCCAGGAATGCCAGGACACTGCTTCCTGCATGACGCACACGCGCACCAAATAATTTTGGCAAAGATCGCTTTAGAGCCAGGACACTTGCACTACGACCACATTCAACTTACCAACACTCTGAAGATTCTGGACTGACATGCGACTATCACTGAGAACTCTTGGCAATAATCTCGGGCACCTGACAACTATTAGGCGTACTTATTTACGGGACGCAACCTTTGACAGACCACAATCGTCACACAAAGAACGCTCGCCGCGCGAATCTCACAATGGCGCACAACGCGCAACTCTGACTTCCCTTCCGCAACACCAACGCTGGCCAAGGATGTGGATTTGTTGGCATATGACTCACCACTAAATTAATGTCGCTTTCCTAGAAAATGATGAGTGTGCTAGGCGTCTTGAGGCTTCCAGATAATCTGGAACCCTTCCAGGAACGCGGTAACTGCAGCGGCCAGAGAGATTAAGCCGTGTCACATTGTTATCATTAGCATTAGCTGAATAGGTGTTCGCTGGAAACATAGCCTTCAGCTCCTCTACATAACTTTGTGCATGTTCCATTGGCTCTAGCGGGATCTTTCAGTCATATTTTGAGCCCTGCACAGCTTAGAAGGGTTTATGTGGCCTCCTGGAACATAAGGGCTGAACGAGAGAATTAGTGTTTGCTCTTTCGCAGCCAGCATTTCGCTGCAGCCTCAGCTAGCTGGTCGATTAGAACGGACAGGCATGTTCGAGCGGCATGCGTAACGCTCTGCTAAACTTGGCTAAGGGCACGAACTACTAAACTTGGTTTGGTTAAACTCAGTGTCTTAAGTAGCCGTTACGTGGCGTCAAAAAACGAGTAGCCACCATTCACGGACAAGTAGGAATGCAAACGACGAAGTGGAATCGGGCGGCCTCACGCGGGCCACTGACCCCCGCGCGGACGGGCTGCTCCATCGGGGCCACATGCGGTACCTCGCCGACAGAAGCGGACTTTGGGCCGCCCTAAACGGCTGCCATTGGTCACCTCACCTTGGTGCCTCGGACGGGTGCTATTTTCAGATGTCTGCCCGAGGAGAGATGGTGCTCGGTGGCTAGGTGAGTAAAGTTTCTGGAATAACCAAAGCACAAGGTAAAGCACAAACGCACAACAACGAAGACTTGATTTGTAATGTTCAGCCATCTGTCCGGCTTAATTGCCGTCACAGCGCGGTACTGGCGTCGGCCGCCCATGTGAGATTGCGCGTGCGGCTGGGCCAGCAGGGTTACATGACTATCAAACTGAAGACAGCATACGACCGGCGAGCGAAGTCGAGGCGCACAAAATTTGTCGTAAATTCAACAGAATAAACACAAAGTTCGCACATCGCAGAAACCGTCGGAAGGGATATCAAAATATGGTGCAAAGCTCGGTTAGGGGTGTTTACAGGGAAACGGGGTCATAGCACTTCGACTCGGTAAACCGGACATCACACTGATAAATGCGCGAGACGATGCGTGTTGTCCCTCACGCGCACTCGTGCAGAAACCATGGATACGGACACGGACGGATACCACAGTTATACACCTTTTTCTGGGCATTTTTAAGATTTATATCCGATCGTGGTGACCTAAGCAGATGCTGTAGCTCTGCCCGGGGTGAGTGTCTCAAATTACTTCATTTGCAGCATTTCGCTAGCTTTTCGACAGCCGGTTTCATGAGCTTTGAAATCTTGCGAGCTAGGGAATGAAGATTGTTTTAGCTGCCCGCTTTGCAATGAGTACTGCACCCTGTGGTGTAATACATCCCGCACTCCTTTCAGAAATGACAGCAGTTATGAGACTGACCTATTCTTAGTGAAACACATCGGCGATTTCACTGCTCAGGAGAAGGGCTGAGGTTGAGATAAGGCCGTAACGGCATTCAAAGGACTTCGTGTGCGGAAGAGGGAGGAGTTCTCCCCATGCCGCGATCGTCTGACGTGAGGCGGGTTGTGACATGGCATGCATACCACATCTCGCCTATCATTCCCGTCACTTTGTCTTACGCTTCAAGCATTAGCCGATTGAAATTGTAATTTGGATTTGTTCATCTCTTCCTGGTGGTGAGCTGCCGTTGCTCCCACTGATTCTTATAAAAACCCGAATTTCATTCCAATCCAGGCATTCGCTTTGTTTGTTTCCAAGTCGCTAGAGATTGCTCATGACGAAATGTCTCAAATCAAACATGGGAATTCTAGTTGACTCGAATTCTCCAGCATGCTGCCAACTCAGGGTGATGCATCCTTCTAAACGCGCTGGCATGTTGCATGACGTTTATCCGCCTCTGAGAAAGCAAAAATACCACGTAGGCATGGGTGTAGGAACAGGGGGCCAGGTGGACCATGGCCCCCCCATTTTTCAAGGCGGGAGGGGGGGGGGCAGCAATGTTAACTGCTTCCCCCCCACTTTTCAGATTAAGGTTACATTTGGCTTACTTTTGCACTACATTAAACATGCATGCCGATTTACCTAGTCCAGCAGCCATCTCCCTTAAGATGCATCATCTTTTTCGTTTGCTCATTGGCCACCGCTTAGTGTTACAGCCGCAAGGCTCGCGCCGCACGGCCCGGAGACTGCAACACCAGGCGTCGAAGCTGTTATTGCTATGACTTGCGAGTGCGCATGTTCAAGATCATATTACGTAGCTTTTTATCATTTACCAGCTCTGCCAGATTCTTGAGCATTTTAAGACAAACATGGGTTAGCCATGTTAGTGCAAATTAGGAGCCCCATTTCATATACAATCTACAGTCAGGGAGAACTCAATATCCCTGATGAACACAGAAAAACACGGAACTGGAGTCTTTGTGACAACTATCTGACTATCTGCGGTGATCAGGGATGTTGTCGCGTCAATGAGGATTCTGTGCTGATCCTGGGCTAACTGCACGGGTCAAGCTTCCCGTGTCAGGGATGGGAACAATATGATATGATGCATCCTTCTAATGGCCTCCGGATCGACCAGGAGATCCCGCCCGTGCGACCAGAATGATAGGCAGAAGACACTTTGCGATGGGACGGAATGGCCCTTCAGCCCTTGACCGGAAACGGTAATATACCTCTGGTGTTCTACTCAAGAGGCCCCTTGCCCGGAGGGAAATAAAGGGTCAATATTGTTGAGAAGAGTAGTGTCTCATTATTGTTTAATAGGGTGGGTCGAAATGAGTTTAAAAAAGAGTAAAGTCATGCCATGTTTGCCTGAGAACGTTTATTTTTCAGGACTCATTATTGAAACAAATTACATGAAAAGACTTGAAGATGCCCGCCCGCAACCTCGAGAGCAAGGACAAGGTTGGTCTGGGTTGTAACTTTCCGTGAAACCGACAAGTTTCGGGCCATTGCAAGTGCCACTAGACGACAGGCACCGTGTTAATCGGTCTGCTGGGGAGATAAATAGCTGAAAAAACAAGAAAAATAGAGATTTTACCTTGAATCTTCCAGTTCAAACCACCGGATGCTAACCCTACTTCGCGGTGATTTAAGGGCTAATCCGTTCTTTTCATCAGTCTAAAAAATTGCACACGTGAAATATGTGCTCGGACCGCCTTCTAAATGTAAGATCTGATGTCATGAAGCATTCAAGGATACTTTTCAGAAGCATCGTCATTTTCGTCCACCCGTTGACCACAACTTAATATTGGCTGCTAAACCGACGCTGCGCGGCCACGGAGACTGCAACGCCTGTGGTCCAGGCTTGCGCTTCTGATATTTTCGAGTGCGCATGCTCAAAATCACGTGACATTACTTGCATTACTAGACGATTTAAGTCTTTAAACGAAATCATTTTAGAAGCGTCATCATTTTCGTTCATTGGTGGGCCACGACTAAATATTAGATACTGGACTAACGGTCCGCGGGCTATGGAGACTCCAACGCCTGGCGTCGAGGTTTTGTTGCTAGAGTTTGCTAGAAAAAACACGTTACATAAAGTGCATCACCAATCGATTCCGAAGGAATGATGAACATTTTCAGACAAACATGGCTTTGCCATGTTGGCACACATTGTTCACTACTCGACCTGCAATCAAATTTTTATTTTCAAATTTGCATCAAACATATCGATCTACAATGCAGCTTCGCGATGTCCTCAATGCCTATAAAACCCTGATAAAAATTTTGACAAAGTTTCTGAATTCTATCGGTTTAGAAAGACTCAACTAAACATTGTAGATTACGGGCGCAGGTGAATTCTTCCATGCAGTCGTTCAACGCCTGATTTCTGCAGTTTATTGACATCAAAATACAAATAGAATTGAGCTCACGGTAGCTCCTGGTCTCTGTTCTGGTTCCAAGATAAAACTAATAATAGAACGAAGAAAACCGTGTCACTTGTTAACAAGAAAGCTATATCCGGGTATTTGGGGAGGGGGGATCACCATAAGATGGGCTTTTGTCAACCTTGTGTTCCCCTTGGCAAGGCTCTGACTACGCCACTCCCTACACTCAAAAGCAGATCAATCAGTGTCCGTAGGCCAATTCATACCTAAGGCAGACAGCTTCCCAGAGGCCATTTTTCTACGATAGCGTGGTGTGAAGGAAGACAATTCGGAAAAAAAAATACTATACCAGTTGTCCACCACATGTTTCCTACACCATGTAGTAGTAACGCTAATCCAAAAGTATGCAACAAAGCAGCCATATGATCAGTTCACAGTCAGTCATGCGGGAGACACCCGGGCCAGGGCAATGGTCACCGACGGCGGACAGGAGCAGGGCCCAGATAAGGAACTTGTGACAGATGGGCCCTTTTATGTGGCTTGATTCTTAAAAGAGAATCTCCAGTTTTATGGCTTTTGTCACTTTGCTTCCAGCACTTTCAAGCTCACGAATTTGTTTCCGCCTAAAATGCAGCGACAAGTCTGATCTCTTGGAAAGCAGCCAGCGAAATGAAGGCGCATGGAAGATCTGTTGCACTGTGAGCCATCGATCTGCTTTCAAAATTCTCACCAGCCAGGCCATCTCACTATCCAGCATCAGGCCACCAGCCATCTCACTATCCAGACCGTATTTTGGCATCTACACTGCGTGGGCAGATGCTTCCTCAATGACCCGAAATGCCTACCCGCTCGTGGAGTTTCGCCTCCCCAGAAAAGACAATATTAAAATGGACGAATAATCTAGGGAATCTGGATAGCCTATTTGCCAATGACAAATGAGTCGAAAAGGCAAGGTTGTGCACCAGTGAGAAACAGCTCTAGATGCATATCTAGCATAGCAGCCATGACATTTGGTTAAAGAGCGATGACAGCCCCGCTTCCTAACCCCCTCCCCCGGGGATATGCTAGGTGAT